GATGCCTCTGGCTACTGGGTGTCACAGAGTAAATGGTCTGTAAATGGTCTCAAGTGCTTTGAGGGACAAATATCATCCATTTGGTTTTCATGTACTTGTACAAAGTTGCAGGATTTGATATCATAAAGGCCGTTAAGAAAATGTAACTGGAGGATAAAACTGTGTCGTCGGCATTAAAGTGAGAAAGACTATTATACTTTTGATGGATCGAGAAGTCGTAGGTGCAGTAAAATAAAAGTCGTCCTAGAATTGAACCTTGATGTTACAACAATCGATGGGAGCAGAGGATGAAAAACTGTTTTCTATTCCAACTGAAACTCAGTAAGAAGTGAAAYATTTCAACACTGGACCGTGAAGAACAAGTCCGACCTCCAGGTGTTTTACAAAATGTCAGGACTGTGTCAAAAGCTGCTTTTTACAGACAATAATATGAATAAAGTTTATAAGAGGACAGTTTGGAGGTTCACATGTTTGTAGCAGGTCTCTTACTTTGTGTGTGAGGGTCCAGGTTCATTACTGAAGTTTAGAGGAATTTCTTTGGACTGGTTACTCTTCAGAGACACACAGCTGAACTCTGGAGACTCTGCTCTCAGTCTGTGGTCCTCACCTCTGCAAACACAAACATGTTTTTATTCAGAATCATTCACTGATTCATTCTCTGAGAATTCAGTTTGGAGGTTCACATGTTTGTAGCAGGTCTCTTACTTTGCGTGTGAGGGTCCAGGTTCATTACTGAAGTTTGGAGGATGTCTTTTGGACCGGTTACTCTTCAGAGACACACAGCTGAACTCTGGAGACTCTGCTCTGTCCTCTTCCTCCACATAATCACTCATCTTCAGTCTGAGAGGAAAAACACTGTGAGCTCAAACACACACACAATGAAGCCAGGTGCGTAAATTCAATGTTTCTTGAAATATAAGTCAACCCTCCTACACTGTCTCCCTGTTGTCACGGTAACCTGAGACAGTTTTAKGTTGAATGTGTTGGACTCAGCTGATCACAGCTTGAGTCAAACTGTTGATTGACAGAAGTTCATCCTGACTCTTCTTCTCTCGACAGTCCACGTGTAGAAAAACTGACTCAGAGTCAGTGACAGTAAAATAATATTCATGAATAATATGAATGTAGCTGAACACTCACCAGCTTCAGACTTCACGTTTCCTCCTTCTGCTCCTCA